TAAAAAAGAAGCAGCATTTCTTGAGCAAAAAAAGGAGCTCAGAGACAGTGCCCAGGCCAAAAAAAGAAAGAAAAGAAAGAAGCAGCATTTCTATATCGTTTTACTAAAATAATACTAATTTGGAAATCCTTTTGTTATTGTTGTTATTATTGTTGTCAGTTCTCAGCCTTGAACTCATGGCCTGGACACTGTCTCTGAGCTCCTTTTGCTCAAGGCTAACACTCTACCACTTGAGCCACAGCGCAACTTCAGCTTTTTTTTTTTGGCCCGTCATGGGCCTGAACTCTGGGCCTGGGCACTGTCCCTCAGCTCTTCAGCTCAAGGCTAGCGCTCTACCACTGGAGCCACAGCGCCACTTCCAGCTTTTTCTGCTTATGTGGTGCTGAGGAATCAAACCTAGGGCCTCATGCATGTGAGGCAAGCGCTCTACCACTGAGCCACCTTCCCAACCCAGCCACTTCAGCTTTTTTTGCTTATGTGGTACTGCAAAACCAAATCCAGGGCTTCATGCATGCTAGGCAAGCACTCTACCATTAAGCCACATTCCCAGCCCTAATTTGGAAATCTTAATTAAAATTTACTTTCTATAACCTAAGGGTAGTTATGCAGTATTTGTGTTGTTGTTGTTGGTTGTGGGGCCTGAACTCTGGGCCTGGGCACTGTCCCTCAGCTCTTCAGCTCAAGGCTAGCGCTCTACCACTTGAGCCACAGCTCTACTTCTGCCCTTTTCTGCTTATATGGTGCTGAGGAATCAAACCCAGGGCCTCATGCATGTAAGGCAAGCACTCTATCACTGAGCCACCTTCCTAGCTCCTTGGCAGTATTTCTTCAGAAGCTACAGTCTTTGTTTGATTTTACTTGAAGTCTAAGTTCTAATTAGTGTAGAGTAAATAAAGAACCAGGCATGGTAGCTCAAGCTTATAATCCTAGCTATTGAGAGGCAGAGATTTGGGGATTGCAGTTGAAGACCAGCTTGCCATAAAAGTTCTCCTGCTTCTATCTCACCCAATGACTGGGCCTAGTGGTGGACACCTGTTACCCCAGCTACAAAGGAAGCACTGTGGCTGGGCACAGTAGTGCACACCAGTGATACATGGAAGCACAACTGAGAGGACCACAGTACAGGCTGACCTAGGCATAAAGTAAAACCCTCCTTCAAAACTAACCAAGACAAAAAATCACTAAAGGTGTGGTTTAAGTGGACCACCTAGCATGCATAGAGTCCTAAATTCAATCCCTAGTACCACCAGCACCACCCCAGTGATGATGATGATCATAATCATCATCATCATCATCATCATCATCATCAAAATTACTTTGAATTATGGAACCAGAGAAATTGCTTTAAGGGATCTTTTCGTTTGTAATGCTGATCAGTGTAATACTCTGGTTTCTCTTCACATCTCATAAATCTCTCCCCTTTTATTAAATCAGTGGAGTCGAATTATTTATTCAACCTTGCAGTGGGCTGTTTTCCTGTAGGTGGATAGTAAGTTTTCAGTGTGTTGATGTCTAATCGACAGTGGCCCTTGTTAAATGTCACTAGTACTTCTAATTATTTTTAGAAGTCACAAGACATAACTGACAAGTCAGAACTCAGAGCCACTAAAATGACTCTGCTTGAGGATCAGCAACTTCATTTACCTGCTTTAATGAGTGTTGCAGTAGACTCTTCTTTCTGGAGATGGGTTCAATTCTCAATAAGCAGTTATTGGGAAAAGGCCAGACTAACTGATCTAATTTCAGAGGATATCTGACCTCTGGCCTCTTTTCCTTTCCAGAATGAGATTCCTTATTTACAAATATTATCAAAATGTATACCAGTTTTACCAGTGATTTTATGAATGATATTTATTTGTTGCCCGGGCAGGAAAGTCCTTGAAACTCTTATCTCCAATAAGCTACCAGCTCAAGTGGTAGAGCACTAGCCTTGAGCTGAAGAGCTAAGGGACAGCACCCAGGCCCAGAGTTCAAGCCCTAGGACCGACAGAAAAAACAAATCAAAACACTTAAAAGACCACAAAGTTTACTCTTTATGTCTTTAACTTATTTTTATTGAAAAATGAAGAAAAGGGGCTGGGAAGGTGGCTCAGTGGTAGAGTGCTTGCCTTGCATGCATGAGGTCCTGGGTTCGATTCCTCAGCACCACATAAGCAGAAAAAGCCAGAAGTGGCGCTGTGGCACCAGTGGTAGAGCGCTAGCCTTGATCTGAAGAGGGACAGCGCCCAGGCCCAGAGTTCAGGACCACGACCAGCCAAAAAAAAGAAAAGAAGAAGAAAAGTAAATGGGAAATAGAGATGATGATTGTATTTTAACAAGTGAACTTTGAGAACGTTTTAGGGGAACTGAGGGTGGTAATCCCAGCTACCTGGGAAGCGAAGATGGGAAAATCAAAATTGGAGGCCAGCCTGGGCAAAAAGTTAACAAGAGCCTTATCTCAACAAACAAGCCAGATCTGTAATTACAACTGAAAGTTAGGAAGCTTAGGGAGGAGGGTTGTGGGGAGGGTTGTGGCTGAAGTGACGGAGTGCTGGACTAGCAAGCACGAGGCTCTGAGTTCAAATCTTTAGATCACCAGCAAAAAAGGATGTTTAATAATATACTTCCACATTTAGAAAGTAGATTACAGTGCCAGTGAGTTACCTGGGAATTCAGAAAGCACAAGCATGTATTTCTTCAGGGTTTCTCCCACCACCTGTTCTCCAAGGTTGCCACCCCTAGAGCTTGAAAACTGTCCGAAGAAAGGGGCCTAAATCTGTCTTACACGCTTCTCCTTCTGATGGTTCAGCAGCTTCATCTTACCTTTCTTGTAATTCAGTGCTTAGTAATGGCTACCTATATTGATTTAGCATTTACTAATTATTTTTAAAACACACACCATCTGAACAGATGTAAGGGAATCTCAGTCTCTTAAGATTTTTTAATCTTATACCTTTAATTTATCTTTGTAGTACTGGGGATCAAAGCTAGAGCATCATCTAGGTACATGCCTATAATCCTAGCTACTCAAGGAAGCTGATATCTGAGGATCATTATTCAAAGCCAGCCCAGGCAGAAAATTTTGAGACCATATCTCCAATTAACCAGCAAAAAACTGGACTGGATGCATGGTATAAGTGGTGGAACACCAGCCATAGTCCTTGAGTTCAAGCCCCGGGTACTGGTGGAAAAGGGAAAAGCAGCCGACACTGTATCACTGAGCTCCGTCCCCAGCTCAATTTTTCTTTTCTCCTAGAATGGCCATGAACATGAACTCCTTACTCTAGGAGTCCTTTGGCAAATATAGGCCACAAAATTGACTGGAACTTGGGGAGCATTCAGCAGGTTTGAGCTTTGTTATAAGCTGTTTCCATGGGTTGAGACAGTTGTCAGCTGCAAGCTTCTGTTTGTATACATTCTTGCCTGGCAAATCCAATAATCCCATTTGGAGTGATTCCACCCTAAAGCTTTTAGAACTTATTTATGAAATTAGAGACATTCTTCTTGCCAGTCTTCTTATTTCCTATTTTTAACACAGAAGTGAAGTACATCCTAATACTGAAATTTAATCATTAATCTTAAAGTCTTTGACAATCATTGTACAAAGACACTAAATACTTTTTTCTGTTTTTAAGTAATTTTATCTGAAGAGTGATAAAAATACTGAAAGTATTGAAGCAGATTTTTTTTAATGGGAAGAAAGGCAGAACAGAAGTAACCATGTGAAAACAGTTCTCTGATGGTGTCTTTTAAATAACCTATAGGAAATATATTCTTGATTTTTGTTTTCAGGTATCATTTGACTTCAAGTCAGTTTTTTGTTTGTTTGTTTGTGGTTTTTTTGTTTTTTTGGACGTGGGGCTTGAACTCTGGGTCTGGGCACTGTCCCTCAGCTCTTCAGCTCAAGGCAAATGCTCTACCACTTGAGCCACAGCACACTTCTGGTTTTCTGATGGTTTATTGGAGATAAAAGTCTCATGGACTTTCCTGCCTGGGCTGGCTTTGAACCATGATCCTCAGATCTCAGCCTCCAGAGTAACTAGGATTAAGGCGTGAGTCACTAGTGGGTGGCTTTGAGAATGTGGCTTAGTGGTAGAGTGCTTACCTAGCAGGCATGAAGCCATGGGTTTGAAAATATAAACAGAAAAAGGCAAGAAGTGGCGCTGTGGCTCAAGTGGTAGAGCACTAGCCTTGGGCAGAAGAAGCTCAGGGACAGTGCCTAGGCCCTGAGTTCAAGCCCCAGGACTGGGAGTGTGTGGGGGGAACCTGGGGATATAGCTCAATGAACCAGTATGTTCCTACTATGTGCAAGGCCCTGGGTGTAAACCCCACCATAGAAAAAAATACCTTTTTTCCATTTAAATTTATTTATTTGTTGTTATTCTATTGTTAAGATGTTGTACGGAGGGGTTAGTTACTTGAGTAAGGCAGTGAACACATTACTTGTCGATCATTGTTACCTCGTCCCTTCCTTGTTCTTGTCCACTAGCCCTTCCCTCCCTCCAAAAATACATTTTATAGAAATTCTTCTCATATAATGTTTCCAAATGATCATGTATCATCCTTACATGGTCTTAAGGTTAGTTGAAGGTGTCGGTAAGGCAACACTGCCCCAGAGCCAGCAGGCATTCTCACAATGACCTCTAAAGCCACTGAAAGCATACACAAGTGGACATTGCCTAGAATGTCCTGGAATGTCAGTTACCTGTTTTCTTTTTGTGGCGAAGTTTTCACTGCCATGCTGGGCAGTGTGCACATTGGGAAATGGAGACAGGGGATCCAGAGAAAGCAAGTTGGCCCTGAGTCACGTGATTAGTCTTCCTGAAAGTTCAGTGTCACCCCTGATCATCTCTTTTAGCGCGCAGATATTGACCAGGCCCCAGTATTCTAAAAGAAATGCTCAGTTCCATGTCTTCAAGTTTCTGGGTCCTTTTTAAAAACTAGGAATGCTTTTGCTAAATTAATGAATGTTGGAGGGAAAGAAACATTGTCATTTTCTGATTTCTTTTGTTTATGTCTAGGTAATGGCCCATCTGGACTCTTCAACAAATGAAGAAAACCCAGTGACCACTGATGAACAGATTGTCCAACAGTAATATTACATGGACATGCAATAATGTGTTATTGATTTTCTACCAATAGAGTTTGACTTTTTAAATCAATTTTTGAATTGACAATCTGAAAGCATTTTCAGTGACGTTTGCAAATATATATTTTTATGAGTTGGTACTGAAAATTACATCATAAAGGATGAAAATGCATTTGCTTTTAATTATGTCAAAATTGTGCCTTCACATTAAATAAAAGCATATGGTCTGTGTGCTTTCCAAGACCCATTATATAAGTATATTTTTCTAAAAAACAATGCCTTGCCCTACTCCATCCTTTCCATACTGTACTATGTTTCTTTCAACTCTAATGATGGATCACAGTATGATGGCAAAGTGAGCAGATGAACAAATGTTTTATTAAGGAATTATGTAGATTTTGTCTTCTCTATAGAAATAACTATTTCAGACCATGCATAAAGGCCATTCAGCTGTGAAAATCTGGTCCTCATATCCTGAAAAGGTTAGAAATATATAATTCAAGAATAAATATAAACACAATTTTGTAGTGTAAATTTTGAAAGTGTATAACCATTTAAAAAATTAACAGCTCAAATTACTTTAGGCTGCATATATAGCTATATATATCAAATTATCTTTTCAGATACAGAGAAACATAATATATAGAACTATCCATTAAAAGGACATAAATATGGCATCTAGATTTTTTGCAAGTACAGCTTAACTTTTGAGTTTCACATTGATATTTGAAATTTGGTTCTATGGATGGTAATTTGTGATCTTTAAAAACTTTTCTTATCCAGGCCTATGTATTAGCATACATAGCTCATTGTTCACATGCAGTGCCCCTCAACAGTCGTCCTTGGCTGTTTTCTCCTGATTTCCCTATCTTTCTCCCTAGTAACTGCTGTTAAGCTCAGAGCAGGCTGGTTTATTATTTTCTGTTCAAAGTATAAATGTGCTTTTTAACCCATCTATACAATGAACAGGTTAGATCAGTTAATCACTAATTAGCTGGTAACTTTGAATTTGAAATTTTCTTTTTTTTCTCTTTATTTTTTGCAAAATAGGTGTGCGCTTAAATGTTTTCTGGGAGGCAGATCGAATTATCTTTACATTTTCATTTTCTCTAAGAGGTTCCCAAAATACTAATGATTGCAAAAGAAGTAAGATTTGTCATTTCTGTATAAATACTGTACAAAATATGTGAACATATCTAGTCTTTTATTCTAATGCCAAATGAATTTATTAAATGATAAAAACAGTGCCTTTTAAAATGGATCAGACCTTTGATGTTTGAACTAAACTTAATATTACATGCTTTGTTTAATTGTTAACTTGCTGAGTAAATCACAAATAGAGAAGTTTCATGGACAGTCAGCCTTTCTTTCTACTTTTGTTTATGGCCAATGACTTACCCGACAATTAAGAGTTAATCTTCATTTTCTCTTCCTTATATCAAATTTTGAATTTTTTCCAAGGAACCTAATTTATTTGGCAGTCTCTAATAGAACAGATTAAATGCCATTTTAAAACTCCAACTATTTATAATGTCAATACAATGCTTGTTACAGTACAGCTTTCTTAGTAAAATTATCTGCAGTCACATCCTGGCCTTACCATATTTAAAAGCCTCAACTACATCTTATGAAGAATGTTAGAACTATTGTGTTTTCTTTTTTTTTTGGGGGGGGGTCCAGTCGTGGGGCCTGAACTCTGGGCCTGGACGCTGTCCCTCAGCTCTTCAGCTCAAGGCTAGTGCTCTACCACTTGAGCCACAGTGCCACTTCCGGCTTTTTTCTTTTTGCTTATGTGGTGCTGAGGAATCGAACCCAGGGCCTCATGCATGCAAGGCAAGCGCTCTACCACTGAGCCACCTTCCCAGCCCCTTGTGTTTTCTTAAGGAACTACATTGAGATGAATTTTCAGAATAATTTGGTTTCTCTAATTAGTGCCTAATATTTTAACTTCTGAATCTAGAATTTTTTTCACCAGAAAAACATCAACTAGTGAATCTAGAAATCAGAAATTAGAATTACTTGAAACAAATTCTGCTTTATCCAGCCATTAGTTATCAAGGAAGTCTTTTTTTTGGGGGGGGGGTTGGTCATGGGCCTTGAACACTGGGCCTGAGTGCTGTCCCTCAGCTCTTTAGCTCAAGGCTAGCACACTTGACCTACAGCGCCACTTCTGGTTTTCTGGTGGTTTATTGGAGATAAGAGTTTCATAGACTTTCCTTCCTGGGCTGGCTTTAAAGAGGAATCCTCAGATCTCAGCCTCCTGAGTATCTAGGATTATAGGCATGAGCCACTGGCGCCTGGCAGTAAAATCTTATTCTAGTTAGCTAAAGATTTTTCTATTTAATCAAGGCTTGTTTTGTTGTGTTTTATTTGGGGGGGCTGAGGATCAAAAACAAGACTTTATGCATGGTAAGCAAGAACTCTATTACTGAGCTACCCTCCCCCCCCCAAACAATCAAAATAATTTTCAGTAGAAATAAGAACTAGAAAGTAAAATTCCTATAGTCCATCATCAATGTTGTACTTGAATCTAAGCAGACCAGTTTAAAATAGTTACTTGGAGAAGTTAAAATACAAATATTTTGGGGAGTCAAAATGAATTAACAAGAGATCTGAAGATTTGGTTATAAAAAGCTCTATCATTTCTTCCTCTCTGGATCTTTTGCCACCAAGAACTTTTAAGAGAAAGAGAATCTGTTTGTTTTTGTCCCCAAAGGATGACTTAAAAAATATGATAGGTTGTATTTATTAATACTTAATGCTAAAATTACTAGAAAGTTCTTATGAACATTTTTGTGGCTAAACAAATAGAAATTGCTGAGTATCACAAATTGTAATGTAGAGCCAGGCATTGGTGGCCCACACTTCCAATCCTAGCTTCTCAAGAGGCTGAGATCTGAGTACCTTGGGTCAAAGCTGGCTCAGACAAATTTGGAAGACTCATTTTCCCAATTAACCAGGAAAAAGATGGAACAAGAGGCTGTAATTCATAGGGTACCACCAAGGGAGAACATAGCACCCCAAGTCTAAAAGTCCTAGTACCAGCAAAAACCATTGCAGTGTAGATTATTTCTTGTTTAGTTCAGCAAAAACAAGTATGAATTTTGTGAGAAAGGACCTTGATATCCTAATGTACTATCATTAAGCTGGAAGCTTGTTTCAGATGACAGTTAGTTGTTAGTTGAGTGCAATTCATCACCCAATTTATGTTACTATTTTGGGAATCTCAGGAGGTCTTGGTCTGGAGAAGAAAGACTTCAAGGATGGAAGTAGGGGAAATTTAGGACAACAGGTTACATTTATTAGAGTGAAACAAAAGAGAACTCTTCCAGATGTGCATAGCTTGTGAGAAAGCAGCTGCCTGAATGGCTGGTCTATGAGGCTTCCAGCTAACCCCAGGGCCTAGCTGACAGCCTCGCCGCCACTAGCTTGCCCCTCGGCAAGTCAGAAGGAAAATGGCCAGTGACCCCTGCAAGCTAGGAGCAGGAGAAGTTGGGGTCCACCACACAGTTTATTGAGGAGTCCTGTCCTGAGTGCTCTTAAGTCTTCTTGCAGGTGCCAGATACCGATTTTCTAGCCCAAAGAGTAGGTTGCTAGATAAGTGCCATAAATGTCCACCTGGGCACTGTGACTTGGTCTTCATGGAGGTGTCCACAGTGTTCATTACTGACACTCTGAAGTCACAGCTCCCTGGGGCTTAGTAGCTCCAGGCAGCACCTCTGAACCACTCACTTCCAGCCTAGGTGCCCATAGGTATTGAGATTTCTATATTTTAGTTTAGTAAGCATGGAGATTTTTGTGAAAAGACACATTTCTAGTAAACACAAATTAGCTTTGCAGTGTTCTTTGTTCTTTGAATTTACTCATTCCTCCCTCTCTTTCTCCACCCACCCCTCTTCTGTACTGGACAGGGGGCAGTGGAGGGGTGGGGAGGTCCAACCTAGTCTAGCTCATGCTCAGCAAGTGGTCTAGGTCAGAACTACAGCCCCAGATCTTCAACATCTGCTTTAGTTATAAGCAAAACTTATTTTTACATTTGACTAAGAAATATTTGGACTAATTTATTTAAGCTTGTTCTCTAAAACTTGAGCTTCATCCCAGCCAGTGAAACTTTGGAGACACAAGGATTGTATTTCAGACTAGTGGAATGTACTTACTGGTCTGAAGACCCTTTGTATTTTCCCATGAACAAGAAAGAATTTGAATTAGTTCAAGATGATGCCAAATGATCCATTCTACAGTTTAAAACATTTGTTTTCATCTTATATTCTGTTTATCTCAGAGGATAATTCTGAAGCAGGTTGGATAAGGTTCATGCAAACAAAAATACTTAATATAAATCATCTTCTGTTTTCTGGAAGAAAAAAAATGTGGATTCATGAGATTGGAATTAAATGATCAGATAGACATTATCTAGTAAAGACTATAAAGAGGAATTTGTGTTTAATATTTCCATATTACAACAGCCTTTGTATATGAGAATGCTCTCCAGGAGTGCTGGGGACATGACTCAAGTGGGCGATGACTTGCAAGGTGAAACACCAAGTTCAAATCCCAGTATTCCCCCAAAGAAAGAATTTTATGGAAAATGTTTATTAGTGGGCAAATGATTTTTTAAACTAAAATTGAAGATTGTCCTTATTGGTAATTAAGACAACTCAAAGAAGATGGAATATTTGATGTCATCATGTTCCTCTTTGATTAAGCATAAAAATATAAAAACAGCCTTTCTATCCTTTGAACTATAGATTTGATTCTTTTTAAAATGTAAAAGTGTATGTCGTTATCCTGCAATATTTCCCAATAGATACAAATTAGGTAGTTTTTGCCTTTAAAAAGCCTTATTCTGTGTTTTGTTTATATGAAAACCTTTAAAAATATTTAATAGGATCCTTTTCAGATGAGAAGTTTGAGTAGATTTTTTTCAACTTGCATATATAAGTTAGTATAAATTAACTTTTTTTTTTGGTCAGTCCTGGGCTTGAACTCTGGGCCTGGGCACTGTCCCTGAGCATCTTTGTGCTCAAGGATAACACTGTATCACTTGAGCCACAGTGCTGCTTCCAGCTTTTTCTGATTAATTTATTGGAGCTAAGAGTCTCATGGACTTTCCTGCCTAGGCTGGCTTTGAACAGCTATACTCAGATCTCAGCCTCCTGAGTAGCTAGATTACATGCATGAACCACTGGTGCCCAGCTATAAATTAACTTTATAACACTACTCGGGCTTTACTTTTTTTAGGGAAGATGATTTCAAATGTAAACATTTTTCAAGTATTGATTTAGCTATACTTTAAACTAACTTCATCATGTGCCAAATACTGACCAGAAAAAGAATTTTGATGTATTGAATTCACTGTACTACTCAATAAACTATTTTAAAATAAAAATTCAATTTGTTGTATTTTATATGGTAAAAAAAAATCATTGAAAAGATTCTGGTACCATGTTGAATAATATAGTGTAACATAGTAGGTCATACAGTTTGGGGAAACATTTATAAATGTGGACTGATGTTTAA